CCATGGAAGGCGACCCGTGGTGTATGTAGATAAAAATGTCTAAAATCTAAAATAAGGAAAACACAACAATTCATATACTTGATTATACATTAATGAGAACATACCTATATTATTTTTCAGCTCTCCCAATGGAACCTCCTAAATATGACATACATACTTCATATTCTTGCATTGATAATTTCAGCTTGTTACCATCATCATGTAGTTAGTGGGTAGTTAAGTGTAGTTAAACTGAGCAAACAAAAAAAGAAATAATTCACCAGTCCAATTTTACGCATTAAGTGATGTATGGACACAAATCCCTTTTCTTTTTCAGGTATTTCTTTTTCTGGTCTGGACAGTATATATTTAGCCATAATTGAGCACAGCCATTATTGAGCCAGTACACTTCAATGGTGGCAGCAACCATGATAACTAGCCTATTTCTGGCACTACTGAAAATCTCTACTTCCGCCATATTGTATCGTATTTCACACCTACGTATTTCACACCTACGCACCCACTATTTGACAAGCTCCAGGTTGAGGTGGATTTCACCGTGTAAATACAGCAGGATGCACCTTACATACTGATTTACGCAGAGATTTTTGAATGGCATATTCACAAACAAGTGGGGAACTTAACTTCAGGGATTCAGTGTCTGTGTGTGTGTTTGACAGTGTGTGTGTGTACGTGGTTGTGTGTCAGCCAGATGGCCTGAGGCCTAGCTGGAGCTGTGGCTGGCTATGAGCTGAGCTGAGATGAGCAGAGGATAAGCTTGGACTGGCCATGGGCTACGATTGTCCTTCACTCTGCAGGAATCCATTAAGGTTTCAGGGTCTCTTCAGCCAACACACACAGAGACGCACACACATACACACGTGGCCATTTAGTTGTGCCTGTCAGACTCATAATAGCTGGATAACAAAGTGTCTTTCTCAGCAGCAGCCATATGTATAGGTGGATCTAATCCCTCACAGTGAGACTATGACTCATCTCCCGTGGTATATAAAACTGTGTTAATATCTGTCATCTGCAAGAAATGGTTACCAATTGTCACACATACTGATAATGATATGAGCCAATTTGATAATTATACGAGCTGTTTTGCATGGATGTGGTGGTGTGCAAGACACAGAGATCTCAAAGACACACACACACACACACACACACACACACAGACAGGGGCCTGGTGTCACTCCAGGGCAGCTGGTGTGAGTGGCTATAGCGGTTGGCTTCATAATAGAAGCTTCATACAAATTAAGAGCAAGAGAGAGAACTGATTGGATTTGACTCATTATCCTCACACAGTAATTAAAGCCTGAGGGTGGATAGATGCTTGGACCCTCAGACAAGAACATAATTTTACAGAAGCTATGCTAGTCTTTGCACACATTCGTTCTTTCTCTACCATCAAGGGTCTCTACATCTACATCTCAAGCACACACACACACACACACACATATATATATATCCACAGAAATGTTCACAAAGATCCAACATCATTTGGAGAAAAACAGACATGACCTGCAATCAAGAGTCATGACCAACACTTGAGAAATTCTGTTTTTTTGTTATATTAAGAGCGATACAGAGAGACTACATTTAGAATTCTGAAAAGTTCACAGTATGAATAGACAAAGATTTCTCTTCACTGAAACATTACCGAAAACTTTCCATCATCAGTGATGTGCTTTCAAACATAAAAGCACTTTGATTTCACCGTCTCTGACAATTTGACCTTGGACTGTGTTATCACAGACGCTCCATGGTGTGTTTCCTCAGAAATAATTGAGTGAGAAGGTTTGGCCTTGCAGGTAGCTAGAGACTGTGATAGCGACTTTGCAATTGAGTCACAATAGGAGATTATACTTGTGGAGCTCTGTGGCCCTAAGGCTGAGTTGTTAGCTGGATGGCTGACTGTCTTTCGGGGGTCGAAATGTGATCAGCCCCTTTTAGCCCCTCTGTCTGTTCCAGCAGTCATCTCCTAATGCTGCTCATTAGCATAGCACTGAAGCATAGTGCCAGGAAACATTTTCGGCAAGCAGTATTGGAAGTTGAGACACTGGGCATGCAGCGGATGAAGTGGAATTCTTGTTATGTCACCGTCTTTAAATTTAACTTTAAGTGGCATTAAGGCTAATAGGTGAGTATGCTCTTTTTGCGTAGAGATTGCTGTGGAATATTAAATGTATATTGCATACATCTACATATGCCCTCAAATTTAGCTCTGGTCCCTCATGATTTTCAGGTTAGTTCCTTAGTAAAGCTGGCGAAGAAGAACAAGTAATTTTACAGTCATTGGACAGAACTAAGAGGTCTCAGTGATGGGAATCCCTCTCGCAGAGAATCATCCCAACCAATTTCTCCAGTACTTTATCAGCTTAGCGTTGTATCTTAGCGACTCACTTAGCACTGTGAGTTAACGTAATGACTCGCTGGAGCATGGCCTGTCACCACAGACAAGCTGAGCCGATGCGGCCAGAACTGTCACATCCAGGCAGACTTCAAGCTGAGGAGTTGTGACAAAGTGACATCCGGAGACAAACCTAAAGGCCTAACATGAGGGTGCAAGGGGTGGGGGATGCTTGTGGGACAGTGGTTGTGTGT